TTTATAATTGACATGTAAAGTGCACGAATAACTTATTGATCAGGACGTGTATAATGATTTCTCATGACGTGGCCGGTTATATTACCAAACTATAAGGTACCCATAACCTGGTCAATGGCCATGAAGTCTGAAGGCCATGAGCCAGTTATATAATCCGGTATCTACATTTCAGGGAGGTCAGTTCATTCTGAACCTGGTAGACCACTTTGGCGGAGGTTTCATCATCTTTATCCTGGCCACGCTCGAGGTGGTCGCTATCCAGTGGGTTTACGGCATCAAAAACTTTAGCGACGACCTGGAGTTTATGATCGGCACGCGGCCCAACTACTACTGGAAGTTCTGTTGGGCAGTGTTCATCCCGCTGGCTCTCATGGCCATCTTCATCTACGCCGTGGTCACCATGAAGCCGCTGACGTACGGCAAGATCGGATACCCAAACAGCGCAATGAGTAAGTGCGGGCGACACAATTTTGTCCGGCCTCGGCCACACTGAATTGATAAGGACTTATGAAGGACATTCTCAATGATACTGATTTGAAATTAACGATCTAATGATTAAAGTCCCTATTTGGGAGTAATGATGGCTAAAAGCTTGAAGCATCGAATACGTGGTCGTGCACGGAATATAACGAGCTTAAATGTTTCACAGATCACAGCAAGGCTTTTGTTCGTTTACTTGCTGCACGTTACGGCAGCAGCACGAGTAGCTTTTTGTCACTTGCTCTCTATATATAATCTGCCGAGTAAAAGGGCACTGGATAACGAGCGGCTACAGTGCGACTTTACGGCGGTAAAAACTACCGGGGCAGCTGTACCATCAGCCTGATTCCGAGCGGCCCTATTGATTGGAAGTTTCGATCTCTGGCTGGTGAATGAGAAATAACCAGGCCTTGAGGGTAATAGATATGGATTTATCTGTCTGTCTACCACCAGAGGTGAAACATAGTCGACAGAGTCCTCATAAGCCAGAAAAGCTATCTCAGAGTCTAAATATTTCAAATCAACGGAAAATGATAATTGACATGTGTTGTCATCGCAGATGATTGGGTTGATCTGTCGTCAGAATAGTCACGGCGTCTAACCCAATAGTTTCAATGTCCATACCCAGCTGTTTACCCTGGCCGTATCTCTGTTCCAGTCTGCGGATGGGTACTGATCAGTGATCTACCATAACCTTCGCTCTGTCCCACAGTCTGCGGTTGGGTTCTGATCACCGTCGCCCTTCTTACGGTACCCGTATGCTTCGTATATGAAGTCTACAACGCCAAAGGAAGGACGCTTCTGGAGGTGAGACATAGATGAATTTACTATAAATGTTCCATATGAATGTGAGCGCAACCGATCAACTTCTAGGTGTTTCCATGCGAGATATGGCGTTGAAGATTTGGATCACTTTTATTAAACAAACAGGTTAAAATGATGTCTATAAAATAACACAATGCATATCTAGCTTAAATTCCTGTTGAAAATGTAGGGTTTCTCTTTCGTCTTCATGTCTTCGCCCACAAACGCAACAATCTGTGTAGATGCCGCGATATCGATGACGCCATAAGTTGATGACGTCATTGGTCGCCGGTCGGCCATCGATGGCGGCGGCGCGCTGCCAGCTCTCAGCACCGATTGATTTGTTCCCATGCCGTGCTGACGGCAACGATACCGACTCGGTGACTCTCAGCACTTTTGCACAATCTGACTCAGATTTGCCAATATCTATCGGATTTGCGGGGGGGCTTTTCGCGCCATTGTTGTCCACAGATCCTATTCAAGGCTGCGATACGTGCTTTCCGGGACGGTCTAGAGAAGCTCCATCCGGTGGCATTGCACGTCCGTCGTTTGCTCTGCGGCGGAAGTCTGCAGCTGGCCAAGATGGTTGCCTTTCAAATTGGCTCTTGTGTTCAGTAAAGCAATCAACGTTGACCCACAGACCCGATGGTGTATCTGTCGTATGACTTCTTCTACGAATTAGCTGCTGCTTTGGTCTCTTTTATAGGGGAGAAAAACTCCAGTACGTCTTTTGTCCCTACTCTCCTCTCTTCTCTTCGTCATGCTCTCTCCCTCTTCTCCGTTAACTGTTCCCTGCTTCTCCTATTTCACTGCCAGGGTCTCCCGGTCAAGTAAAAAGATACTGAACACAAATATGCGAAAATAAAAAGGAATATCAAACCATTTTTATGCCGCGCTGAGCCATCAGCTTCCCCTTGTGTGTTCAAGATACCATCGCTTGGCGCTAACGAATGTCAGTTTCAGAATCCGCCGATAGATGGCACTTGCAAATAGCGCCTGATTCATGCTGTGCCGCAATACACTGTACCCGCCGCGCATCGCATCGTTGCCGCAAATTGAGTACGGTAGTGATTTTAAGACGTTTTGGATATAATCGATGGGAGCGCATTGACCATAACTTATCGTTGTTCTTTCACAGTAAAAGTAAGTTGTTATTCTGCCTAGTGCCTGCCATTGACAAATTGCCTTACAAAAAATTCAAAGCCCCAAATAATCGCTAGTCAGGTTAAGATTTCATTTATTGCGAACTTATGTATCAACATTAAATGGAAACTTTTCTCGACTACTCCCCTCTCCGTATTTCATTTCGTGTCACCAGGCGGCCAGGTCCGCCGCTGCACTCCAGTGCCGACAAGCACAGCGGCACGGTACTCCCAGCCGATCCCAGGCACGTCCAGGGGCCGTCAGCCCGGCCTGCCTGGCTCCATATTGCGTTGGCTGGTCGTGGCCGATGTCTCAGAGCACCACATGGTCCCGGGTGCCAGCATCGGGAGACTAGGTTCCCCAATAGGTACTTTATTGGAGGTGAAATTGGTTCTAACGATATCAGAAAATGCTGGTCGTGGAAAGACACTGATACGGAATAAAATTGTACAGCGTATATTTCAATTATGAAATAAATTAGAACGCCTGTTTGAATGTAAGGATCGACGAAGCCACTGAGCCAACGCTAGGCAGATCTTGTTGTGGAGCCCCATCAGACATTTCAGTCTTATCGAACAATGCCGGGCAATTGGAAGGTTGATTCGCGATGGCAAGTTTAGCTTTCCCATCAAAGCCAGGCACGTCCCGTCATAGACGGTTCACTTATTGTCCTTGTGAGCCCATCATTCATTACAACTTCCTCTAGCAAAGGCCGGAGCTCGATGAACTACCGTCACGCCCGCTGCTAAGAAGTCCAGCCGTTCCGCCTCTAATGAAGACAGTTGTTGAGACTGGGTGTCATAGCTTGTTTGTAGAGCTCTCCGAGGAAGTCTCGGCTAACAGAGAGCGCCAGTCAACTTAATACCAAACTCCACTGAGACCCAGCGGGATTTACGAAAGACGCTAACCGAAACGGTGGCATTGCGTAGAGGGAAGAACAACATGAGAGTCGAGTACGGGACGCACTAATTAGCCAAACTTATAGCCCTCACGCATTCCTGCTGAGTTTACTTGTTTACTTGTCCGTAACGATCAAACATCGCTGGTACTGGAGACGCAGTGTCACAATGCTCATCAGCAAAAATATGGCGCTCCTTTACGAGAACGTGACATTCGTCGTACTGAGCCAAGTCCGTCCTTGTTTCTTGTTTCTTTGTATTTTTTTTCTTGTCCGCCGCCCAGATCAATGACGACCTTCTCCATTTTCTGCAGCGCGTGCGGTCGACGTTCCAGCCGGCAGCCGACTGGGGCCCGGCGGAAAACGAGCAACGCAAAGAGTGGCTGCAGGCCACCGGCCGAAAGGACCCACTGGCCGGCCGGGAGTCGCACCGGCGGCCGCGGCCGCCGCTCCAGCCGCGTCGCCCCAGCTACCGGCGCACGGTATCGGGCGAGGGCCGCGCCGCGTACCGCCGCACCGTCTCCGGCGGGCACACGTTCCAGCGCACCATGTCGTCGACGGGCCGCACCTACCGACGTACCGTGTCGCACGCGCCGCCGTCCCTGGAGCAGCGACAGCAGCGCCGCCACACGGAGCTGGCCAGAAGGCACAGTGCGCCGCGTCCGCCGACAGACGGCGCCAGCCGCGACACAAGCGTGTGATGTCGGCGATCATGGGACGCGTACTTTGTGAGACACGAACTCGGCGATATGTGAAATCAGCGATAGGGGTGTCTCATGAAATGATGAGAGTGTTGGGGTCGATTTTTCTCAAAATATTTCATGTGTAGATTTGACGCGACGAAGTGTCCAATAGACCAGCTTGTTACTAATTATACGAGGCCCGATAGATTTCAGCGGAATAGCCGGGCTCTGAAAATGTAGTGTTCTAGCCTAGGACTACAACGCGTAACGATGTATGTTATTGTTGAGCGTGCGATCGTGCCCTCAAACTCCTAACAGATCACGTGAGCAATAACGCATTCCTGCATGTGCACGGGTGATGTGCAGAACTGCCTCTCAAATCGAGATATGTTCACTGAACGGTAGGGAAGTGAAGAAATTCGACGACCCGTGTCGAGTACGGACTCAGGCCAGCCGTTTTGTCGTCGCTCAAAGTGCACTCGAGCGTTTGTCACAGCCGGCACTGTGGAACAGACTGAATTGAAGATTCTCGGGTGCGCGAGTTTTTCATACCGGATAGCGCGTCTGTGAGCTGCGTGAGTGAGAGCGAGCAATCATGTCGAAAGTAGACGCTCTCGATCGAATTTAACCTCTAAACAAACGCATGTGTCAAGACGTTACTCTGTGATGTCTGTGGGGTATTTTTAAGTAAATGCAATAAATGACTAAAAATTTAACCACTTGTCCCTGAAATTCCATCCCGAGGAAAGCCTGGCCAATTATTTCACTGAATTCAGACATTGATGAGACAAAGATTTTAGCTATCATTCGGAGGATATGATTGGTGCAGTTGAATAGAAAAAATAGACAGCAGAGTTGAATACCAAATCGATTCAAATCGAACACATCATTCAATTTCATTCGCAGAAGACATTATAATTTGGAAATAAAGCATTGGCATCTGAAAATCTGCCACGTGGACAATGATGGAAGCATCGCTTAAAAATTGTTTGTAACCGAATGAAAGCGAATTTATTTCCATAAATAAAGTTACAGAAACAGAGAGCCCTACAGAAGGGCATTCAGCACAGCCACTGTAAACGTCAGCTCTAAATTCGACTATTTTTGCAACATTGGCCCTTCTGTTTCGATTACTACAAGCTACACTTCATGTATCATGCTGATGTTTTGTTTTGCTGGGTAAGGCCCTTTCGGTCTGACAAGACCATTTCAGAGCCGGAAGGATGGTATGAATTAGGGGGAGACGTTGGTCTGGGCAGACACCTTAGAGATGAGAGTCACCGGGGCTGAGCTCGTCCGAATGGGCAGGCCGACGAGCCCCAAACACTCTCTACACCCGCCTACGGGGTGCGCTCCCTCGGGAGCAGCGGTGCCGCTCCAAGGGAGCAGCCCACATGAGATAAAGTTGCCTGTCCAGCCCGGAGTGGGGGTTGCGGCGTGGAGGAGGATTTCAACATCGTGAGGATGAAAACGACGGAACGAGATGCATCATGCGCACCACGCATCGTGCACTGCTTAGCCACTAAATCGACTTCGCCCCCTTCCAGCCTTTCTGTAGTGCTGTACATCTAGCTACCAAGCCGACTCGAGTACACGGACTCACTGACCTTGAAATACACCTGTCGAATGTCGACATCCCCTCTGACGATCCGCTCACACACGTTCATCGGCCACATCCGTACGACTGCCGGTCACAGCTTCATTCACATACCCTCCACCTAGCGAGCGGTGCGGCGCACTGTGTCTTCTCGTTAACTCCGCCAGGCGGCGCTGGTCACGCTCCAGGACCGGCGGCGGCACTGCGAACGCCACACTGTGTCGGTAGGTGGGCTCGGGGCCGGGCCGGTAGCTGGGGCGACGCGGCTGGAGCGGCGGCCGCGGCCGGCGGTGCGACTCCCGGCCGGCCAGTGGGTCCTTTCGGCCGGTGGCCTGCAGCCACTCTTTGCGTTGCTCGTTTTCTGCCGGACCCCAGTCCGCTGCCGGCTGGAACGTCGACCGCACGCGCTGGTGGGAGGGGAATACGTCATTACAGTCGTTTTCAGAGAAGATTGGCAGCCTTAGTTACATAAGTGTGCATCATGTTGGAACTAAAGGGAAATGTGGCACAACAAATCCATGAAGCCGGTTAGCTATTGAGCTTTGGGCATCACAAATCATGCTCCCTATCTTCACATGTCAAAAATCCTCCAGTTTATTTCAAAAACATGGAAAGCCAATACATTACGCTCACCTCCAGAAGGGTCATTCCATTCGCCCTGTAGACCTCCCGGGCGAAGCAGACCGGCAGCATGAGAAGAGTCAGAAGGATGAGCAGTGCGCCGCAGACTGGCAAAGAAGACAACGAACAGTAAGCCAGAGCCACCGATCAAAAGTACCGCACGAAGAACACGGTGCTTTAATTTAAGCGCATATAATCACCTCGAACACCATAAGAAATGTATTCCGAGTTTAGCGAGTCACGCCTATATATGCCACGTTTATCACTGTTGAATTGTAGCATGCTTTTACTTAGTTCTCAGTACTCACTCATTGCGCTGTCCGGGTACCCGACTTTGCCGTACGTCAGAGGTTGCATGGTAGCCACTGAGTAGATAAAGATGGCCATGAGAGCCAGTGGGATGAAAAACATCCAGCAAAACTTCAGATAACAGTTGGGACGAGCGCCAGTCATAAATTCCAGGTCGTCACAGAAGTTGTTGATGCCGTAAACCCACTGGATAGCCACAACTTCCAGAGTCGCCAGGATGAACACGATAAATCCGCCTCCAAAGAAGTCCACCAGGTTCAGGATGAACTGACCTCCCTGAAAGATATGACCAATTAGCAGAAGATGCCAATGACACCGTGCAATCAAAGGCGATTAAGAAAAACAGCAAAGATTCTGGAATAAATGGAACACATCAATCGCTTATAGAAAATAAACGCTCAGTAAATATACGCTAACACCCAATTTTATATAAGCACTTGTCATATAGGTAAGAAACACTCGATTATCTGCAGCTTACCGGTGTAATGTAGACGAGTCCGACAAGAAACCCTCCCACAGACACGATGGTGGTGGCCGCCAGCTGGCTGACACTGGGGAACTCCTCTCGAAGGATGGTAATGACGCAGCCGGTGAGGGCGGTGGCCGAGCCCACGCCCAGCGTGAACAACATCAGGAAGAACAGGACGGCAAACAGCTGTGAGGAGAAACCGATAAGGGTACGGGGTCAGTGGGTCTAGGTGATGGCTGATTCCACGATTAATCAGCAAAGTTCAATAGCTAAAAACTACCCGAAATATCGAGCCCAGTGAAAAACAAGAGCTACCATGAACCCTGAAATCACATTGTTGTTAGTATTTTGATAGTCGTCTTTCCGTGCGTGACCCAGCCTGATCTGACCTGACGGCCCCCATCACTGACCTGCGGCACCCCGGGGAAGTTGGCCAGCGCCTGCGGGTACGAGACAAAGGCCAGCGACGTGCCGCCGCCCTTGATGACCTGGTCCACCGTGGTGTCCAGCTCGTGAGCCAGGTTACCCAGAATGCCGAATATGACGAACCCGGCCAGCAGTGAGGTCAGCATGTCCGCCACGCTGATGATGGCTGCGTCTCTGTAATGTTGCGTTCACAGAGCTCAGTAGTACCTATGCTACCCTTAGTCATCGAAACCAAGATGATTAAAACTAGATGGGTATGAATATGATGAAGATGGACACTCGTAGACACAAGTAGCTTTATTTTGTTTTTGAGTTGCATTTAATGTTGAAAGAACCATAATGATGAGGGAGCTCGTAGAGAAAGTCCTACTTGCGGAATACCACATCTTACTATTTCTAATCAAGCCGTCTCGTACCTGGCGACGGGGTCTCTGAAGTCGTTGTAGCTCGAGTACATGACCAGTGGTCCGAACCCGATGGAGAGTGAGTAGAACGACTGGGTGATGGCCGCGTACCACACCTGGGGCAGAGCGGAGATCGGGGTATTACGAGCAAAGACGGTTTAAAAACAATGTAAAGAAGTGGCTAACAAGGAATGGAAACGCGTTGTTTCGACTCAGTGTCGAGACGCGACTTTGCTCTGTAGTTAGTCACGCACTCAATAGCTCAGAAGTCAGAATATTTGGGTATTCAGGCGAATACTTACTCTAGCGTTGAGCAGTTCGTTCCATCTCGGTTTGATGTAAAACACGACTCCATCGTAGGCCCCGGGGAGCGTCAGCCCTCTGATCAGGAGAGTGATCAGCACGACGTATGGGAAGATGGCTGTGGGAAAATGAAATCAGAAAAGTGCGGTTACAATGAAACAGCCAAAGCCGATTGCCATTGTAGCGCCATTCCTCGCCAACGCTCTGAAATATTTCACTTACTACTACCGATGGACAGTTTAACAATAATGAATTCATAAAAATATCACATTAATGAACTACTTAGTACTTACTTAGTTTCAGACTTCAGACACCCAATTGGCTACCAACAATCACTCACCCATCTAGCTACTCCTATGCATTCATACTAGTTATAGCCTTCTACCTCCTTCCCTCAATTTTCATCTCTTATCCTTCTCTTTTCTGATGCGAGTACACCCACTCGCAGCCACTTACCAGTAAAGTATGCGACCTTTCCGGAGCTGTGCACGCCCTTCACCATGGTGAGGAACACGACTAGCCAGGAGAAGAGGAAGCAGAGTGTCAGCTTCCAGCAGGGCAGACCGATACCGTGGTCAATGTTGGGCAGCTCCTTTAGAACGTTCATCCTGAGAACGGGGATAAGGGAGGTCCACTGGGTAGATAGCATATCCAGTTGTGCACCATCTTATCACGTTGCACACGTTTAAGCGAAAACAAACGAATAATATTCGTTGACAAAAATACAAAATGGAAATAAATGCAGCAAAAGCTATGAACGAACTGAAACCATATTTTCTAATCACAAGATTTTCGGGATTTCCACGCGTACGAGCACTCACTGGAAGTACATTTCGGTGGATCCCATGGTGTCGTTGCTGGTGAGCTGGGACAGGTTGGTGGTGGGGTCGACACAGCGCGTCAGGTCGGCCCAGCTCGGGTCGCACACCATCCACGGCAATACAGACGAGAACGAGGCGAAAAAGTAGAACACCGTGAGCGCCATCAGCGCCACGTAGTAGGAGAGCACGGCGGACGTGGCCGTTAGCTGGCCGTACCCGACCCCTGTCCGAAACACAGACGGGGATTGGGGAACACCTAGTCCACGGCGATGGCGGGGGTGAATGAGGTTTGACTCCGGTAAGAGGTCATGCACAATCGATAAATACGAGTATGCAGATGGAATCATCGATTGATACCGTAAAATGGATCTGATATTCGTGATCGTATGATGACCCTAGCATATATTTTGTAGAGTTTTATGTGAAATTAATTTTTCAGCGGTCTTCAAATATCGACAGGTGGTGTTCCTTGTTATTTGCCGTTTGATGAATAACTTTCCATTGGCTTTTGGGGTTCACACTTCACATATCATACCAACATTATATGTACTTTATTTGAATGTTCTTATTGTTCACTTTATTTGCGGCAATCCGGATTGGACCCGGACATTAGGCGAGATGAAATGCCGACTGATAATAGCCGTTTTCACGACGGGCTATCCGGCGAGTGCACCTAATTTGACCAAATCTGCACCTAATCTCTTTTACAGCAAATATCTTTATTTTATTAATTCATTTCAGTGTTCTAGTCGATGATGCTCTCTGATAATATGACAAAGCAGGCATATAAGCAATTAGTACAACCCTATAGCTGATAGCTACAAGGAGACACACTGAACCAAATTTGACCAAATCTGCACCTAATCTGCACCAGATGTGCACCAAATGTGTACCAGATGGCCGTCGTGAAAACAGCTATTGCAGCTTCGGACACTTAACAGTTATTTTGCCTCGTAAGCTTGGCATCTGTGCCTCTCAGCTTAAGTCCGACCCGGAATCGAGTACAAACGGCATAAAACGCCCCATGTCTCTGGATAATACACGAATTAACCCTCGCCCTGGCATGGGGGGGGGGGTCGATGCGACCCCCCCTAAGGTTTTTCGAAGCTAGCGTAAAAACGGCGGCGCGCAGCGCCGCCAAATTTGGCACAGCCTATGGGGCAGCCTTTTTACATATGACCTGAAAATTTCAGGTCCGGGTGACCTTGGGTCAGGTCACCAGGTCAGAAAAACCGGTACAAGGTCATGGTCAAATTTCAATTTTCTTTTTGCACCTGTCCAACTCACAGTTTTGAACTGATTTCCTTCAAACTTTCAGGATGTGCTAAGTTCACAGAGTTGTATAACATATAGTTCGGGTTTTTTGAGGTCACTGACCTGAGGTCAGTTAGAGGTCATTACGTCGTAATGTTAAGCCTATGGGAAAATACTAAATTCGGAAAATACTGGAGATATCCGCTTCGTTCTATCACTTCTGTGCTTTGAAACCACAGTACTTAACAGCAGGTCACTTGGTGCTTCTTTGTTTGGTGTACTTATCCATGGGTCAGGTCAAATGAGGTCAACTGAGGTCAAATGACGTTTTTGCCAATAAGTTGGCACATAATGACGCTAGAGCTTAAAAAATGGTATCATTGTGTTCCTAGTGATCAGCCGAATCGAATGATATGCGATATGATGCAATTTGGTTAACTTGAACTTAATTTATTAATTTAAGTTTACTTAAAATTTAAGAAAAAACTTTAAGTACACTTAAGCAGGCTAAAAAGTATATCATTCGACGCGCCTTGACGTGCTGAGTTCACTGGTGCTTTTGTTTTTGCGCTATCTTAATTAGATCAAAAGTTATAAGCGAAAAACTTTTGACCTGTTTTTAGCGAAATTTTTACATTTATACCCCCCAAAACCCCCCTAAATATTGACCTAGAGCAACCAAATTTGCACAGGGGCGAGAACTCCAGGGGGCCCACCTACCTACCAAATTTGGTGTTTCTAGGTGCCATAGGAGCCAATCGCGAGGGGGGGTCGCATCGACCCCCCCCCCCCTGCCAGGCCGTGTTATGAAAAATGCCCTGCCAGGGCGAGGGTTAAATCACGGGAATCACGCGTGGAAAATGTTCAGTATTTTCGAGACATGCAAAGAGCTGGTATGCTGACTGCTGAGCCGGATAATCTGTGGTCCATGGTTAGAGGCAAGGTTAGAAGGTCGTAACATGAGGAAGCCTGAGCCCCGAGGTTCCGGCACGTAAGGCAGAAAGGAGAGACCAAGCGACTAAAATTAAATTCCGCTCTGAGCTCGCAATACAGGAGGTTTATAGCACCTACACATATTATGACTAGATTTGTGATCACTGGATTTTCAAAATATTTCTACTACACAAGTTTTACACAGCAATGAAATCAGAATGTCACTGGATAGGCACTCACCTTTAAGTGCTGGCACAACGCTCCAGACCTTGACGCTCCCGTGTGATGAGAACTGCCCCAAGGCCAACTCCATGAAGTACATCGGCTTTCCTGAAACCGTCGGCAGACGTACTTCGTCATGCATTCGTCATTGGCATCAAAACAACGCTGTTTATCATCTTAGCGAGGGCCGCAGTTGTAGCTAGATAGTGGAAAACAAGGAACATAATCACATTAAACAAGATGAAAGAGCATTCTGATGAACGTTCAGATGAGAATCAGTTGCTGGCAAAATATTTGCATCGTACGTTCCTACGTACATCAGGTCACCAGCCTAAGCTGAACATTCAGAGCTCAAGAGCACGAGTATATACAGATTTCCTCACCTATGGTCATCAGCACGAATAGATACGGCAGAAGGAAGGCGCCGCCGCCGTTCTCGTAGGCAGTGAATGGAAATCTCCACACGTTGCCCAGTCCCACCGACATGGCGATGCAGGACAGCAGGAACTCGATACGGTTACCCCATCTCGCCCGAGGCTCGCCGTTGCCATTCTGCGCGGAAGTAGGATCATGAGACCCTGATGTATGAGCTATAGTGGACTAGTAAATGCACGGAATTAGTTGGGGTGTATGTTGTCTCGAAAAAAAATCAATTCTTATTCATTTATATTTAAGCATTTTTTTATACTTTTTACTATATACAAAGCCGGTTCAGCTTAAAGCAAACGAAATCAAAAGACGTTTGAATCTTTCAACAAGTTAATTCCAATGCAATTTAGATCCCTAGGGACAGCCACACCTTCAGTTCACGTACCTGATCCTTCTCAATAATCTGGCCGTTATCGTCACCCATGACGATTTATGGCCGCGTCGGACGGCCTCGGACAGATCCTGGTGCCTCGGGCGGCGGCTCCCTGCACTGACTGAGCTGCCGGAGCCTCTGGGAGGACCACGGGAGCGAACTGCGGCCCGCGGCCGAGCTGGCCGGGGCTCCGGAGCGCGCAGCACCCATTGGCACCCCATGACCAGACACAACCCGTGCCCGACAAAAGGCCAGGGTCCGCTGAGCCCGCTCTTGACGAGCGTGTTGTTCGCTGTTTGCCGATAACAGCAGTTCGGCACAGAGGCCAGTTGAATCAGCAGGCATACCGGGCCCACACAACCTATGCCAAGGCCAAGCTCGGCTTTGGGTTACACTTTGGAAATCAACTGACCCCTGTTGCCAATGCGACTTTGGTGAGGAAGAAAAGGCGGATTTAAAAATGAATCAAAGCAAATAAAAAAATTAGGTATTTGAAGGCTGCAGCTGAAGCAAAGCTACATTAGTTGAAATGATATTCAATTCTCAGACTCGTAATGAGCACAAGATTCGTAATGCGTAATTAGTAATGCGCACAAGACGTGCTATCTTCAGCTATCATCTTCAACTACACAGGCAGAATCATTTCTCAAAAGTTATAAGCCCGCACACAGTCTTATCCTCTCGGCAGCATTGCTTAAAAGCAGCACGTCAAATGTCACTGGGGCATCACATCTAAATCACATACCTCAGGTAAGCGTATACCAAGCAGCTGCGATTTGAACGGTGACGTTCGGTTCGGCGACGGACAGGCGACAAACAGGTAGGCGCGATTTTTATCGTCACATTCCGTGGCGACTCTGAAGGTGAAAGTGAGCGTCCAATTGCCACTCGCACATCGGCCTCCGGCGTATGCGAACCGACAATTCAGTATCCGACCTTGAATCTCTAATGTCTGATATTACGATCGGAAGTGGAAGCACACGAAACTACTGTTTCAAGGAACAGAAGGCAGGAAACACACGGAAGAGCACGACAATGTAGAAAAGGAACGTATGAAGACAGAATATTGAGCTTTGCTTAATGTAGGTAGGCAAAAATAGTTATTAGCTTATAGCTACATACATAGCATAGCTATGTAGGTACATAGCAAGCTACATATAGGGTAACCTTCTCTCAAGCTAATTTGTATTGACATTGACTATTGAGTCTAAAACAGCCTTTCATGTTTTGGAACTGTACCGTTATGGTGACTTCTAACTTCTAAGGACAATCGGAAGTTTGATGCCGAAATGAAATACATTTTGGCACGTTTCATGTGCAGATCCACACTGAAAACAAAATGACACAAAAAACGACTAAAAACGCACAGGCAGAGCGTGTTAACTAGGCTTTCTTGTGTACCCTGCATCATGCATTTTTTGACCCGTCACAGACGTGTCAATTTACAAATGTGTTAACCCAGTCGTGTTGTGTCCTAAAACACAATATAATTGTGTCTTCAACACATAAGGCTTGTGTGAATATATTTGCAGAATACAAGGTAAATGTGTTACTAAATTTAACACAAATCGCAAGTGAAAGAAGGAAACACGTGGTGATTATGTAGTTTGTTGCCGGGGCGCAATTGAATGGACTTTGGCTTTGGCTGGACAGGCTGACTGCCAAAGCCGGGCCCCGAGTGGAATCGGGCGCTCGGGTGCCGTCAGGGCTGAGTACCCGGCCGGCCGACCCACAATCAGGGCGCGGTCAGGGCTGAGCACGCGGGCGGCCGACCCATACGAGGCCGCCGACCCATACACGCGCTGGAGTTGCGCCCGGTCGGCCACTTCAGAGCCGAAGGGTGAACGCGTCACGTGGACGGCTCAATCAGAGCACCAAGTGACGATGCCCCAAATTGGAGAACTACTGTACAAAACAGTTGTCCAGACAGCCGGGATGAAGTTACAGCCACCGATTTTTTCAAATATATCCTATATAGACCGAGGAGTTTCTTCCTCCAAGCAGACGTTAATTAGCTATGCTTCAGCTTGCACTTGATATAATCAGCGCATATTGCTCTAGACAATTTATCATGTATCGACTCCCTCGGCTGTATTGTGCATTTTGACCTTTCTCAAAACACTTTGGCAAATTTTTACAAAAACCCAGCATAAAAGTCGGTGCTCGAAAAACGCCCTCTATTATCCCCATCTGAAGTTAAGGCTCAGAGGTCGCTCACTGGTGGATGGCACGGTGTATTTGTGCAAGGGTACACGTCTACCATATCCGACAACACATGATTTCGATACACTGATGCATTACATTCGTCCAGCGTGCTTGGTACGAGAAAATTGTGTCATTCTGTTTTATGTGTTATCAAACGTGTCGAAGGTCCCACCAAGCGTGAAAATACTCAGCCGTATTGTGTTTTGGGTGCGGTTAACACATGACTGATGTGTTACCAGTACAGAACATGCCCTCACTGTGTCGATTTGTTTTCAGTGCATGGATTCCTGAATTATGAAGCAAAAGATGACACGCTTCTATGTAATTCCAGTCATATGTTACCATGAAATACCCGATACCGGCACCCACCTCCCAGTTGAGCGGCCATGACCAGCTGTTCTTCAATTTATCCACCAGTGACAATCTTCCCTAGTTTTTTTTTTCATACATCATCATATATTACGACAAACCGCATTTTACATGATCTCATAACGCACGACGTTCCAGCGCCCTCAAAAACCTCCTGGCCCCTGTCTTCCGCTCACTTCGCACCAAACTAGCCAACATAATATAAACATCCATAACAAAATAGCATTTGCCTACGAGCTGACCTCATGTCCCCATACCGGACTGGACTGGACTGGACACCGGACCGATTCCTTCTACGCACCGGTCTCTCTCGCACGCGCTCTCTGACTGACCACATACTCTTTAACCACAACGAAACAGTGACAAAAGCATGGATATGACAAATCATAAACCCAGAGATGAAGATCTAAACAACATAGTTAGCAGAAACACTGACACAATCGTCCGTAGTGCGTGGCGGCGACGGCGGCGCCGCCGGCGGCGGCAGCTGCCCGGCCGACCAGACGACGGGCGCGGCGGCGGCAGCGTACACGGGACCTTCATGCGGTCACCTGTTTAATTAAATATCGGGACTGCATGCCCTGCCCCGCCCAACAAACCGACGAAGCTCGCTGCACATGGCTGTAGTACGTATTCCAATTTTATTTTGTGTTTTCTGCGATATGTGTAGTGTGCTGACTTTTGATTATTAGTCTTCTTTTGATTATTAGTCTTGATATATAATCTTCCCTAGTTGTCTATGAAAGTCTCGACAATTATGTCACTCCTTAGTCTTATAAAACAACTGGCACGTGATGTTCTAGTCAGCAATGCCACAATCTTCCAGCATTCCTTTGTCGGCTTCCAGCAGGTCATGACGAGTGTCGACATTCCCTGAACTCGCATCCAGGCTGATTCGCATCACTGAACCGTAACGTTTCGCCGACCACAGACAGGTATTTTCCGCCGCGGTGATCCCCGTGCCTTCCGTGCTTGTCTGGACGACCGCGCCCCACCGTAGAACGTCCGACTACAGAGGCCGACTTCACCCATTCACTTGTGACCCACGAGTCACGACCTATGACCTGTGACTTCTGACCTGTAGTCGGGTTAAGGCGGAAGTATACCACGAATTCAGCTCGTTACGTCTCGTGGGCCCGTTAGAGCACCGCAGTATGTCTCAGATCTCTCTGTATGCAGATGAGGTCTCAGCTAGCCGTGGGTGGTGACCGCCCAGGGGAGCCTGCACGACCTGCCGGTCACCGGTGTGTGGCCGGCTGGGACGGAGACGGCCGCTGCCAGCCGGCCGTGCCTCCGCTGACCGGTGTCGGGCCGAGGTGCGACTCGGTGCGGCTGTGCCGACACGGTGCCAGGCCCCGGGCTGCCGCCGCCGCCGTCACCCGCCGCGCGTTTGAGAAAGTGAGGTTGGCGGCGGCGGCGCCGGCGCCCGGCCAGTCTCGCGTCTGCCGTGATGGCGCGCTGGTGTCTGCTGCTGGCTGCTGGCCTGCTGGCCTCCTTCGGGCCAGGTGGGTGTCTGCAGGGGTGCAGCATTGCACCCTCTGGTCCTCCATCCCGCCGTCCTTCCATCTAGTGTGCCGCCCGGGATGTGGCGGAAGTCAATAGTGTCACTTTTTCATAATTTTCATCGTTGCATCATTTTACTAGTTAATTCTTTTCTAGTTTTCAAAGCCATTACGTAACTGGTCGTTGATAATGTTAATGATGGCCTTCTGAAAACCAAACAACTTCTTGACTTTAATTACCATTATTAATTACTTTTAATACCTTAATTGCACGTTCTTCATAACGTGATGGTAAGGGTGATGCTTGCACATCTGGAAAAATATATGGCTCAATTTGCTTTTCTTCTTGTCACTTGCTGTATAAATATTTGTAATTTCTGTTGGGCATCCGTGCCACTATGCAATCACGCGATCTTCGTCTTCTATCTGGCTTGTTCCAACTGTCTGTATTTTCAAGTGCATAGAAGCAGTGGGTCGACAGGTTATTTTTGTTTTGGGCGATGTTCTCCGTTTCGAAGCATACTATCTCAAAATAACCAAGCACTTCAAACTAAATTGCATTTTAGCATTGTTTAAGTTCGTCTTAGCCATCAATTATTGATCGAGGTCGCTGCTATACGGCAATGTTGAACATTGTGCGATACGGTTGTCCCATCCCAGACATCTCTTCTATTCACAAATGCATTCATCTGCTCTGCATATCCATCTACATGCATCTACCTGTCCAGCTTACGGTTGTGCCTTCTAACAAACGCCACAGACCGCTCCTGCCATTCCCAGTCGGCTCGTTTGCATGAGAGCGCCGCTCTGCCGCCGTTCGGGGTACTCGGGTTGCATCAACCTCCCGGCAAGAGGCCCACGGGCTGCCCCGGAGTCGTGCCGTCTCCGGTTCCATTGGCAGGTCCGCGCTGCTCACCGGCAGCCAAAGCCGGCACGGCTATTTGAACACCGCTGTAAATCAACCTGCCGCCGCCTTAATCGGCTGTTATCATGCATGAGCTTGAGCAAGAAGTCTTGCCATTCCGTGAGATGCACGTGCGAAATCCGGGTGTCATGAAATGTCTTGCGTTGCCTTTTTGTGGTGCAAGCAAGCAAATGCGATTCGTTACTTTTTCCGTTTTTTTTTTCTGCATCAGCAGAAGCTGGGATCGCGAGAAGCTCCCCGTAGTCATTCACCGACCATTTATTAAGAACGTAACTGATAAGCCGCGAAAGCCAGTCTGCAAACCAATGTGGTGACTAATCCGTAAGATGAGAACGTTTGCAAACCAGAAAAATACATATCTTTGTGTGGCAATGCCAAACCTTACAGAGCCACGACGCAAAGACCAAGGAACGTCAAAAATACGAAGCCACAGGCCTAAGGACCAGCTGTTTCATAGAACAGATTATATTCACCAATAAGGTGAATATTGCAGTGTTACCCGCCAATAAAATACTGGATATGTTATTCAAATAATATAAAAACGTTCTGTTTAACCGTCTTCAATGTAACATTGACATACTAAAATAAAATACTGGATATGTCATTCAAATATAAAAACGTTCTGTTTAACCGTCTTCAAGGTAACATTGAAGACGGTTAAACAGAACGTTTTTATATTATTTGAATAACATATCCAGTATTTTATTGGCAATGTTGAGATACGACAGGAAAACAGCATTGCTGTTCACCTAAAGCGTCAAAACGCCGACACATCTGTCATAGTATGCGTCTGTTTCTGAGGAAGCCATCCTCCCACGACGGATCCCAGAACATTCCTGGCCAGATGTAAGCCAATCTGGCCAAGGTCGCCGCTACTAGCGAGGCGTATCCGCCAGCAAAGTCTTCCCAGGGCTAATCCCACCTCCACGGCGGGCCATGACGTAAGACTGACGGACAGAACCGCCGGTCCAGCTCTGCGGTGGGCAGGACCGCCGGACCGGCACTCCACTGTTGTGTCACACACGCGGTGGTGGCCGCCCCTGCCTCAGGCACCACCACCGGCCGAGATGGAGACTGCACCACAGCAGCAGAGCGTAACACCACAGCGCGGCGGCCGGCGCCGCGCCGCGCGGGGCTGTGCGTTTCGACAGAGGCGGAGAGGGTGGCTGCAGGGCGCAGGCCCAGGGCTGGGCCGCGCCGTGTGCGAGCGGCGCCCTGTGCTGATATCACGGTCATCTCAGCCCGCCGCCCGCGCCGCCACCGCCGGCGAGGTTTTCACAAACAGCGTCACTTTCTCCGCGATATGCCGCGCCGGGCGGCGACCGCGGCCTCCGGCGAACTGTGCGGATAGCGTGCGGAGGGAGGCACGCGCCGGGAAAGGATCGGCTATCTCACCAGACACCTCGCGCGATGGCCGGGACGGAGCCGCGGGGACGCCCACTGTGCTGGTCCCAGAACCCACCCATACGAGCTGGAAGCGCTGATAACGACACAGTGCGCCCGTTCCGTGAAAGCTGATTCATCGTCACGGGTTGGAACTGTGGCCCTCGTACTTCACTTTACCGCGCGGCACG